CAGCTCTGTTGTTTAGAATAGGCATGAAGGGGAATTCCCAAGTTATACCTTTGTCGTATAGGTAATCTTACAATATTTTCATGTTCTTTAGTTAAATAAAAGATAAAGTGATGAATTAATACACTAGACACATGGTTTTATAACACTGACGTCGTAAGGTGATGAATAAAAACACTAAACACATGGTTTTAATCATAAGCCTAGAGGCTAGGTCTAGCCTAGGTAACATCGTTCATTCATACATACGTTTATTGAATGTTACATACGTATTAGGTCAAAGGTTACCGCAAATTTAAAATCGACTTTCTACTGTATTAGTAAATAGTCTTATGCTTTTTCATATTGTTGTATCCAGCCATAAAATTTCCCCGTAGTGGGATGAATAAAGTATCCTTGTATCCTTTTAAGTATTTTTTTGGTTTTTGATGATGTCATCGTCTGTACAAGGCATATGTAAAACTGAGGGTTCGTTTAACTGAGGAACGTAAAAATGAGGTTCTACTGTATTATATAAGCCTTGATAGGTATTGTTATTGTTACTATTGCTGCTGCTATTGTTACAGTTAATTGTATCTTACAGTAGCTCTAATGATTTAGAACATTCAGCAATATAGTAGAGCATTATTACAGGCTAAGCTACAGTATGATGTACTGTATTATTACTGATGGTATTGTCTACTGTATTATTACTGATGGTATTGTCTACTATATTATTACTGATGGTATTGTCTACTGTATAGTAAAGGTTGAAACCTGAAGCCCATCTCTCTTTCCTTGCCGTTTAGGCCAGACTTTGCAAGGTTCTGAGGGGTTCGCCACAACTCGCACAGCAGTCTCCTTCCTAAGGTACAGTACTTATGATCAGCAAACATTATTTTCTATTAACAACTTTTATGTAGAGCTGTACAGTACAATTCATAATTCTTGAATTTCAAAACATAGTATGTTTTCCTTCATAGGTATATCTTTCAGCATTTTTCATAATTAAACATTAATGAAAAATTCCAGATTCAATAAATTATGGTGAGGATATGTCATCTTCATCATTTTAACGCATAATTTTAAAAACTTCATCGAAAATTACCTCTCAAAATATTTTATGTGCAACATTTTAAAGATTAACAAATAAATTTGCAGATTTGTTGAGGAATTGGTCATGTCATATTCATCGTTGATAATTATAACATTCTATATTCATAATTTCAAGACACTATGTTATAAAGTCTCCAAATCATAACATTAAATATTCAACATTTTGACACTTTTTATTAGTGACTAATATCCTTGTCTCACTAGTCAATTCTCTGTTGTTCATCGACCCCTCATTTCTGTGAACCAAACAGCTATTATATGGCATCCAATCTGTTAAAGGGTAATGATTTTGAATGTTGGGCTTGGCATTCAGAACTAACCTCACCTTTGAAGCTACCATAATTTAGTTGTAGAACGTCATTAAAACATGAACCTTCCTTCAATCGTCCACTCCATAGTACAGAAACAGCATTACTCCAGGTGTATACTGACATTGCTCTTTCAATTGATAAACATTGACCACAAGATCCTTATCAATCATCTGAATATTTCTTTTGAATTTTCAGGATGTGCTTTAAGGTGGATTGGTTGCTATCCCACTGACCGAAGTAGTCATGTCTGTGTCGGTAATAATTACTCGGAACCACGATTATTAGCATTTGAGGTTCCACAAGGCTCTTGGTGTCACATTCTATTCCACATTGTCACTGTCTAATCAAGTTCACTCTATTTGTAAATTTACCAAGTACCATTCGTAACTTATAGATGATTCGCAAATTTATTGACCATGACACTTGTCATGCAGCCGTCTGTGCACTTGTTTTATCAAGAATTGAGTATTGCAATTCATTGTACTCTGAGTTGACTGTAACAGATTCTCTAAAATTACAGAATTCTGCTGCACGTCTAATTTTTAACATTTGATCCTCTCATACTCATATATCACATCTTCTCTGTAAACTTTACTGGCTGCCTTTTAAGCTAGAGGTTTTTCAAATTATTGGTCCTACTTGCGTTCAAGTGACTGTCTGGCCAATGCTCACAATATATCTCTGACTTTTTTTGCTTGTACATAAAAAGCAATTTCATACCAGATTGACTTTGAACGTTGATTTTCATCAACCTATATTTAACAAGCGCAACAAATCTTTTCCGTGTTAAGTGCCACTCATCTGGAATTATCTTCCAGTGCACATTCCCTTTGGAATGGAAAGAGGCAAAGGTTACACCCATCTTCAAAGAAGGGGATCGTGCTGATACAAACAATTATCGACCTATTTCAGTATTGCCGTTAATCAGTAAAATCATTGAAAGAGCTGTTTATGAACAGTTGTATGGTTATCTTACGACTAATAACTTTTTAAACAATGCTCAATCAGGTTTTCGTAAAAACCATTCTACTGCTACAATACTTATTGATGTTTCCGATTACATTTTATATAATATTAATGAAGGTAGAGTGACTGCTGCTATATTTGTTGACTTAAAAAAGGCTTTTGACACGGTGAATCACCAACTACTCATTAACAAATTGCACCAATTTGGTCTTGATTCTATGTCTTTTAATTGGTTTAAATCCTATTTATCTTGTAGATCACAAATAGTCCAAATCAACTCAACACGCTCAGATGCTATGGACATTGATATTGGAATACCCCATTGTTCAATACTAGGGCCTTTACTTTTCAATATCTATGTGAACTCCCTCCCTGATATAATTAAAGGTAAATGCGTAATGTACGCAGATGACACAACAATTCTCTGCAGCTCCTCTAATCCCACTGAACTTCAAAATGAACTTCAAGCAAACCTTAATTATATTAGTCAGTGGTTCAATAAATTGACTTGAAATATACAAAAAACTAAATTTATGATAGTTGGAACACCCCATGTGCTTCCTAAATTTTCTAATATTTCTCTTATCCATGGGAATATTAACATTGAAAAAGTAGATTGTTTTAAATATCTTGGCGTGTACTTTGATTCCAATTTAACTTGGGCTACTCATATCGAAAATATTTCTTCAAAAGTTTCTAAAAGAATTGGTGTCATTCGCCGTGTCAAACAGTTCCTACCTTTCAACACAACTAAAATGTTAGCAAATGCACTTGTAATGCCTTTATTTGATTTTTGCAGTTGCATTTGGTCTAACACTACAACTAATCTTTTAAATGAGCTCTAAATTCTCCAGAATAGGTTAGGAAGAATTATTCTTTCAGTCGACATTAAAACACCCATCAAGGATTTAATGGATGGTTTAGGATGGAATAGGTGGAACTAAGGCTTGGAACGAACTTCCAAACCAAATTAAAATAGAATTAAATGAAAAATTTCAAAACTTTGATCAAAACAGAAAACTAATTATATCTTTCTGACCACCCTCTGTTCTCTTGCCTTCTTTTTAATTCATTTGAATTGGTTCTTTTTTATTTTAGTTAAGTTTCTGTATATTTTTTTATTGTTGGTTTTTGTTCTACTTTTTTGTTCATGTGATCCACTAGTGAGATCAGTGCTGCATCACTGAAAGTGTTATCACGTTAAAGGCAGAATAAATAAATAAATAAAAAAACCAATGACACCATTTAAGCCACCATCTGCGCTAATAACAGGTTTGGGTTAGGCAATGATCATGACTGCCTGTGGGTTGTAAGATGCCTGAGTATGTGGGGTGCAGCGCTTCCGTATCTGTAAAGAAATGCGCTTTATAAATGACTACATTGGATTGGATTGAATTCAATCAGTCATACATCATACATGATTATGATACAGTGGCTTCTATCTGGTATGTGTGCGATAAATTAATCAGTACAATCTGTATATCCTGTGCTAATTAACTCATCAGTATACTGTAAGTTTGATACCGCCGTACATGGATTATGCAAATCATATGCAAACTACTTTTAACTTCTTATTACAATGAATTGGGGAGGATTTAAAGCAGCCTTCACATGGCCCTCCCTAAAGTAACCCTAACACCTGTGTGAAACTAATGTCACCCTGACACTTGCACGACTTTTGTCCCCGCATAGTGCGCAAAGCATCGTGGCAAGGCGTGCCAGGTAGGACCATGGAGGTATTATTGAGAAGGTGATCACTCGACAACAGTTCCTTTGACGCGACAAACCCATGTGTTCCCTGCCTTTAGATCGCACGCGGGCGTATTACCTTATTATTAACATTTTTTCGTTTTTAAAATTAACAATGTTCCCTGATTTGATTTTTTTGGACTTTTAGTATGTTATTATGTGTGTATTTCACCAACAGATTTCACAAAATATTTCTGTTACAATTACTTCTGTATAATATTATATATATTATAATTTTGTCTAAAAATTGACTGGTTTGACTATAAAGCTAAGGCAGCATAAAACTGAAAATTACTCTGACTTTGGATTGAATTTTCGAATAGTCCACACTTGTTCACAATAAAATGACTTAGTTTATTATGAAAATTTAAGTTGAAATATATCATACTTTTGAATCTTGTAAATATTTCATTTAATGTACCATACTTTTAAATCTCATGTAAATATTTCAATTAATTCGAAAATTCTTTTTTTTTGTAGAAATATTAATATGTTTGGTATTTCATGAAAGATAAATGTATCAGAAAAATGGAAATGATTGCGCAGCCATAGTGATTGACTGTAAGTAGTGCGCATTGAGAAAAGAAGGTGCTCTCCATTTCGCCATGTTTCAATTTGTTGGTAAACTAAGCCGACTGAGCATTTTGCTGGTTGTAACACATTAGACTTCAAAGGCATTGCGCAAACGTTCTCCACGCTGCGGCAGCTTTGTTCTTGGCTCATGTGCATAGCGCTACATGCACGGAGCTTTTTCGAGTGATCTCCTTCTCAATAATACCTCCATGGTAGGACTAAATTTAGGTACCTGCTGAACATGAAACACCAGAAAGCAAATGAATAAAAAGATTCACAATGATATTGAAATATTAATTTATTTTCCAGATGGGATTGGGTAAAACACTGCAGGCACTCTCAGTTGCATATTGCTACAAGGAGGAATGGCCACTCCTCATCATCGTACCCTCTTCATTGCGCTATCCCTGGATTGAGGAGCTGGAAAAGTGGTTTCCAGAACTAGAGCCTGGACATATCCATCTTGTGAACAGCGGAACCGATGTTGGGTAAATATTATTAGTAATGTGTATGTCTTCCTAGTTGTGTAATTTATGTATACAGTACATTAAAAAAAATTATTGATGAAGAAGAGGAGTAGGAGGAAAAAGAGTATATGGGAGGACAAGAATAAGGAGGACAAGGATGAGGGCAAAGGCTTTCTTCCTAATTGTGTAGTATGTATTTTTCTATGATAATTTTCCCCAGATTAGCAAAGATTTTTTGAGGATAATACTGTACATTTTGCTATATTCTTCATATTATTAATAGTGGTGGGAGGTGGTAGTATGGGGAGGTTGGAGGTGGTTGTGGCAGTATAGATAACTGGAATTACTATATGGTAAGTCTGCAAATAGGTTTCAAACAAGGTAGAATACAAGATAACTATAAGGCTTTGTCTACACTATCACTTTGCATATAAAATATATGCCCATATTTGGGTGTAATACGACATCATCATGCCCGTATATGGGCACATCACATTTGTTTTGACTGAGCAAAACCCAGACTATCCAGACTATCAATTTTTATTTGACAAAAACATGTGACATGCCTAAATATGGTCATGATGACATCACATGATGACCATATATAGGCACATCATGACTATATATGGGCACACAACAATTTTGGTTTTTTTTCAAAGAAAATTTGATAGCCTGGACAGAGCTTTAGAGGATACGGTTAGTGCGACGTATATGTCATAATTTATAATGTCGTATGCTGGTTGCTATCCGCTTATTGAAAAACGTCGGTACTTGGTGTTGTCAGGATTTTCTTGTAGGCCTAGACTAGGGGTCTCCCTAGGCTTAGCTTATACAGTAGTAGCCAGGCATTTTTGGTCACGAAATAACCAACTCTTCAGGGCAACAAAGGAAAGAATATTATTCGGCTCTCACTTCCAATTTCCAAAACCTTGCATACCAAAACTTAGGACATGCCAAAACCTGATTTTGAGAAGCATGATGAGGAAGAAAACAGAATAGCCTAGGCCCTAGGCTAGGCCTAAGGCCCTACGCTGAAATTTCGCTGTCATTGCGAAAAGCACAGTATGGCTACTAACCGGTCGTTTTTATGTCTGATAACAAAACCTAAATCGATGTAAGGCTAGCTAGCAGTGTTGATAGGCTAACATAAAAAATTTATCTGCGTTTATTTTTTGTGTGGAACGCAAAAAAAAAAAAATCAAATTTTAGTCTTATTTTACATTTTTTCATGTTTAGGAATGTCTAAATTCAGTTAAACTAGCAATTTCGTATTATATTTATAAATCTTTATGACATATATAAAAATCAGATTGTTCTTAACAACTGAAAAATGTACAGTATGTTAATTTTATAATTTTAATTTTTGTGGTGGTATTGTACATTTGTCTTTGATAGTTTTTAAATATATTATACAATTAATCGCCAGTTGCTAATATACTATGGTTATTACAACTCAAATTGTGATTAAAGGTAGAAATAAAAAAATAAATAGGTCAAGGAATTGACGAAATGCTATTAGTAAAAGAGATGATCCGTCTCATAACGCAAATCATCCTGTAATTACCGTATAAAAATCCGATTAAAAACACTCGACTGAACGTAATCTACTGTACACAAATCTATTTACCATTAAATATCTGCATTATGTATTCACATTTTGTAATATTATTGATATTATATATGTTGAAACTTGCGGTACACCACGTAAGTAGTTCTGAAAAAAACTGTTGTAGTTGAGAAAGTCTCGATGTTTCGATTGAGTTGCTTCAATCGTCTTCAGGAGAATAATATTTGCAGAAACTCCAAACAGAGAAATACTTAAATGTTTGGGTAGAGAGGCTGGATGGTGATTGGATGGATAAACTGACCAATGAGAAGCCTGCTAGTGAAAGGCTAAAACAAAAGCCATTGTTCACGGAGACAAAGGGGGTGGGAACACCCAAACAAAGGTATAGTTCCAGTAGGGCGGGAAAGGGGGATGGGAACGACCATAAACTAAAGGCATAGTTCCAGAAGGCGGGAAATGGTGAGGCTGCTTAGCTAGGTCCGATTAAACGTGGATAGCCAAATATCGCTAATGACAAATCCGATATCTTGATGTACAGTATTGTGTTTGTGGATTTCTATAGCTTCTCTAGTCCTTCTGGAGTGCCACGATGGTACAGTGGCTATTAGTTCGGCTTTGTCCCAATTTACACAGTGTTGTTGACTGTGGGAGTGCATGACTATAGACGATTTTTGTTGTTCCCCTCTCCTGGCATGGCCTTGATGTTCCTTGAGCCTAGTACGAAGATCTCGTCCTGTTTCACCAATGTAAACCTTCCCACATTCGCATGGGATCCGATAAACTCCTGGTTGACTCTGTGCCGGTGGTTTATCCTTGTGTGTTTGTAGAGTCCGGGATAGTTTGTTGGGTGCGCTTCTAATTATTATTAATAAAAGTACAGTACTGTAAGCTAAGAAAATTATGGGTGCTGCAGCATAGGGAATCAAATTGTGCTGTAACCTTTTATGTACAGTTACCATTCAAGTTGTCTGCTGATTGTTTGTTGTCAATAATCATCTAATCTACTGGTTAAAATATTGGTCTTTTACACCTGTAGGGCTGGCTCACTCGCTTTCCACAGTGGCATAAAGTCCCTGCGGTACTGTACATGCATCCGTTTTTTATTTGTGATCATTAGTTAGAAATCCATATCTACAAACATGAAATAGGATTCCTTTAAGTATTATATATTTGGGTGTATCTTTAAAAAAAAAAAAATGAAACTCACATACAAAACAGTCTATTGCAGCATATGCTGAATTGAAAGACTGAATATAAAATTACAAAAATATAAACTTGACAATAAAAAATTCACAAATCATTAAAATAGTGCAATATTAAATAATAAATAATTATTACATTTTTTACTGGGGTACAGAAAATAAGTTTTGTTTTAGCATTTTACAAGTATAATATCCCCCCCAATTTTTTCATTGCTTACTGTGTGTTTGTGAGACAAGCGCCTGTTCCCGTTTTAATTTGTCTGTCATGCCAAAATTGGTCCAGACCAAAAAAGGTACGGCGGACAAATTTTGGCCGCCAAAGTCTGTCCGCCAGACTACTTTTGCCCGCTAAAATCGGTCCACCGGGTCGATTTTAACCACTAAAATAGGTCCCCCTTGGATAAAATTGTTCCGTCGGCCTGGCCGCTTATAACACGTCTGCTGCCTGTAGGGTATGACTGTTTCTCCCGTGGAGTGGAGGGAAGTAATTTATGCTTCTCCCACACTAAATCTTTTGCAGTGACAGAATGATTTGTAAGCTTCTGTGGACGATTTTTATCAAACACACATGATAATGCATTTCCTAGGCGACACGGTAACACACAGCATGCATCATTTTTGGCAGCCGTGCTTGGCCTAGGTTTGAACGTAAAATGAAACACAAGACTGATATTTTAGTTTGAAATTTTCCATATTATTGTGTGGGGTACTGTATTAGGTCATACAATAGTTGTTCTATTACGTGAAAATAAGGGGGTGAATATTTTCGTCGTCGAAAAAAGGAGAAAAAAAGAAAAAAATATATCTTACCGACGATATCAATTTCTTCCATTTAAGGGCAACATAGCAATTTTTTTTTTGGCCTAATTAACAGTACTTAAACCAGAATTTTTTATTACTGTGGCGATTTGGATTGGCGGACGCTTAAAATTGCGCATTTAAAATTTTGTTGAAACTATATTCTGTACTGAAATTTAGGTTTACGTCTAAAGGTATTCAAGCTGTTACATTACATAATGCTAACACTGTAATGTAACCAAACACCTACATGTACATTTACATTATACAATGACAGTGAACATTTTTAATTTAAGCATCATGCATTGAAAGAAAAAAGAGTAAAACTGAAATTATCCAACTTCATTATTTTTATTTTATTTAATGGCATTGTAACAAGATTAATTATCATGTACAGTACTCAGTTTGAATAATCATTATTAAAATAATTATTTCAATAGTAGCCACATGGTTATCACAACTATTATGTACAGTTTACAGCACACTTTCCATAACTTTGTAAAGTTCACCAAAAATTGACCCAAGAGACAATTAGAGTAGTTAGTGTAAATATCATTTTTATTTATTTATTTATTTATTTATTCCCAATATTTTACCAGGGTGGCCCAATCAGTCAAAGAGACTGGTCTCCCTTGGGGCCCTGGGTATAAAATATTTTTAGACAACAAAAACTTAACTAAAAATTTACACATTTACGTACATACAATAAAAGATAATTAATCTTACACTAATGATGCCTTAAAGTTGCTTTTAAAAACATTTAAATTACTTGATGACTTTGTTACATAATTTAAAGTGTTGAACAGATTTGCACCTTGCCATTTAAAAGAATGCTTATAATATTCAGTTTTACATTTGTCAAGTGAAAGTGATTTGCAACTATTTCTTGTAAAAGTGATTATGATTTTTATTAGTAAGTTTGAAATATGATTTAAGGTATTCGGGCACATTGTCATTTAAACACTTGAATACTAAAGATGACCGTTTTAGGTCAAATATATCACTTAAATGTAACCAACCAAGTGACATAAACATTTCTTTAGAGGGTGTTAGAATATTTGAATTTAATATTAATCTTGCACCACGTTCTTGGAGTCTGGTCAATTTGTCAAGATCATTATCAAAGCGTTTTGACCACACAGTACTACAGTATTCGAAATGTGGTTGAACAAGTGAAAGGTAAAGTTGGTTTAAAGTAGATTGGTTTAATAAAAGGTTTTAGACGCTTTAGGATTGAAAGAGTTGCAAACACTTTTTTAGATACAGACTTAACATGATCATGCCAAGATAAATAATTACACCAAGGCATTTATATTGTTAACTCTTTCTAATTCATTCCCATTTAAATCAATTTTAAAGTTTTGATATGATAATCGGCGGTTTGTGTCCAGAAGCATAATTTTAGTTTTCTCAATATTTATACATAATTTATTTTTATTTATCCACAAACAAAT